TGAACGTCTGGGATAGACAAGACACTCAAAACGTTCTCTCTCGCTGTCTCCTGAAGGGGGCGCTGCGTCCATGCGCGCTGCCGTCTCTATGGAAACTCTGGTTGCTATTACTACTGTGTTTGAGGACATTATGTCACAACATGATAAATCACATTCACTAACCTGATGCTCTTCTAGTTTTATGAACAAGTCAGCATGTCTGATGCTTTTGGACGTTTTGGCTCCATCGTAGGTTAAACATCTGACACAGATGAGCTTTGTGGTGTCTGTAAGATAAAGATAAAGATAAAGAGACTTTATTGTCATTGTGCAGGAGTACAACGAAACTTGTGTGGAAGAACACGACAATAGCAGCAAGAAATAAAAATAATTTAAACAAAGTACTATATACTGTAGTTTGACTGTTTAGTAGGAAATCATCTCACATGTCACAGAGCTGATGGTACATGTTTGAAACTGAAATTTCTTTGGAGAAAAAAACTAACTGACTTCTATTCTACTGCAATACCCAAGATTCCTGAAGACTTCTGAATGTATTGGTCTAAAAAACTGTAAAGTAGAAAGTGTTTAAAATGCCCGTCTGTAAGTTCACACATCGTCCACATCTGTTTGAGGAGACCTCCAGCTGATCTTCTCCGTTCTATCTGGCAGGTCTTCTTCGTCATCCGCCTCATTGCCGGCCCCACTGCCAACTCGCTGCCTCCCATCACCGACTCGGATCCTCTCATGGCTTGTGACCTGATGGATGGCCGCGACGCCTTTCTCACTCTGGCCAGGGACAAGCACCTGGAGTTCAGCTCTTTAAGGAGGTCCAAATGGAGCTCCATGTGTATGTTGGTGGAGCTCCACAACCAGAGCCAGGACCGCTTCGTCTATACCTGCAATGAGTGTAAACACCACGTTGAGACCCGCTTCCATTGCACCGTCTGTGAGGTGAGAAAAATACCTCAATGAAATCCTGTTTTTCTTCCTATGCAGTCCCTGTGCAGACTGAACAATGATCTCTAGTGGTAAGCAACTGTTAGGTGGCACCAGCAAGCTAAAAAAAAAAACGGCTCTGTTTGTCTGGAGTCTTCATTCTTTCTGTGTCCCCAGATGTGATAGTTGCACAAGTGATAATTGCTGAACAGCTACATTGGTGGGGGTTTGTTACCGTAGGGGGTACACACTGGTTTAATGACTTACCAAAAGCCATGACAGAACACTGTGAGTGCACACTATGTGGAATTGTGTGGTAGCATTTTCATGAAAAAGTACCATGTCTTTGTAAATCCAGTATTTTAATTCATACTGACTTCTCATCCCTCCTTTTCCCCTTTTTTCTCCAGGACTACGACTTGTGCATCACCTGCTACAACACTAAAGGTCACGAGCACAAGATGGATAAGCTGGGGCTCGGCCTGGATGACGACAGCAACAACCAGGCGGCCGCAGCCACCCAGAGCCCTGGTGACTCTCGCCGCCTCAGCATCCAGCGCTGCATCCAGTCACTAGTCCACGCATGCCAGTGCCGCAACGCCAACTGCTCCTTGCCATCCTGCCAGAAGATGAAGCGCGTTGTTCAGCACACAAAAGGTTGCAAACGCAAGACGAATGGTGGCTGTCCCATCTGCAAGCAGCTCATCGCTCTGTGCTGCTACCACGCCAAACACTGTCAGGAGAACAAATGTCCCGTCCCGTTCTGTCTGAACATCAAACAGAAGCTCCGGCAGCAGCAGCTGCAGCACAGACTCCAGCAGGCCCAAATGCTGAGGAGAAGGATGGCCAGCATGCAGAGGGTGGGCCAGCCGCCTGGAGGGCAACCAGGTGGACCTGTGGTTGGACTTCCATCTCCAGGAAACAATGGTACCACAGCACCCAGTACCCCAACGTCTGGTGGAACCCAACCTCCAACCCCCCAGACTCCTACTCAAACCATGCCTCCAGTTCCACAGCAGGGAATGGGTCCTGGACCTGGAGTACAGCAGCAACAGCAGCCTGGAGGGATGCCTCCTCAACATGCCCTTCTTCACCAGTTCCCGCAGATGGCGGGTGGAAGTGGCGGGGCAGGAGGAATCATGAACTCTCCTCAACATCAGCAGCAGATGCTTCCTCAGGTCCAACCGCAACAGCAAAGTGGAACTGGGACCAACCCGCAGCAGCTCCAACAGCACCCCAACAATTTGCCTCAGTATGCCAGCAGACCACCAGGCTCGTCCCCAATCCACCAGTCCCAGGGTAAACCAGTTGTTGGCTCTGCGACGCCGCCCCAGCAGCATTCTGGTGGCAATGTCATGGCTGGAAGTGTTGGGGGCCAACAGCCGCCCAGCCAGGTGCAGGGCCAGGCTGCCCTTCCACAGCAGCAGCAGCAGCAGCAGCAGCAGCAGCCGCCTTCTGGCCCTCCACCGGCAGCAGTAGAAATAGCTATGAAGATCCAGCAGGTGGCTGATGCTCAAAGGAAGATGGCTCTACAGAGACAAGCAGCCCAGGCAGCAGCCGGCTTGATGCCTCCGCACCCTCACCACCAACAGGGTCAAGGTCAGCAGATGGGCATGGGACACCCAGGGGCAGTGGGGCTGGTTGGACCCCAGGGGATGCCACAACAGAACCAAGCAGCAGTGGCAGCTGCTCGAGTCCACATGGATCAACAGCAAGGCGCTCCTCCAGGCATGATGGTTGGTACTGGTGGGCCCATGCAGCAGCCGCCTCAACAAGGCAGCCTGCCGCAGGGCCAGCTCCCCACTCAGGTGCAGCTTCAGCAGCAGAGGATGGTTGCTCCCCTTCAGAACCCTCAGCAGCAGCAGCAACAGCAGTGGGCCGGCCAGGGGATGCCACCGCAGCAGAGGCAAGCTATGATGAACCAAATGGGCCATCCAACCATGATGGCAACTCAGCATCAACAGCAGCAACACCAACAAGCTCAGGGCCATGCTGCCTTGATGAATATGGCGCAGCAGCAGCAGCAGCAGCAGCAGCAGCAGCAACAACAACAGCAACAACAGCAACAACAACAACAACAACAACAACAGCAGCAGCCGCCGCAGGGTGCTGGCAGCGGGGTGACAGGAGGACCTGTTCCTGGAGTTCCAGGGGTGGGTGCTGCTGGTGGAAACATCCCCCAGGCAGCCCTGCAAGATCTGTTAAGGACTCTTCGTTCGCCGAGCTCACCACTCCAGCAACAGCAAGTCCTCAACATCTTGAGGTCTAATCCACAGCTCATGGCCGCTTTTATTAAGCAAAGGGCCTCGAGATACAAGGGGGGGCAGGGGGGCCCTGGTGGACCAGGAGGTCTCCCAGGTGGTGTCCCTGGAGGGCCCGGTCCCACAGGGGGTCCTGTTGGAAATGTGATTCCAGGAGGGGGCCCACAGGTGAACATGAATGCTGCAGGTGCAGGCCAGCCAGGCATGCACATGGGGGGGCAGGGGGCGACGAACGTCAACATCGCCACCATGGCTCAGCTGCAGCAAGTCCAGCAGCAGCAGCAGCAGCTGCAGCAACAGCAGCTGCAGCAGCAGCAGCAGCAGCAGCAGCAGCAGCAGAGACCAATGCTCAGCGGCTTGCAGCAGCAGCAGGTTGCAGCTCTCCAGCAGCAGCAGCAACAACAGCAGCAGCAGCAGCAGCAGCAGCAGCAAGGGGTAGGAAGAGGGATGCAGGGCCAGGGGCCACCGATGGGGAATCTCAACGGCCCCCAGTTTAGAGAGCTGCTCATGAGACGACATCTTCAGCAGCAGCAGCAGCAACAGCAGCAGCAGCAGCAGCAGCAGCAGCAAATGGGAGTAAACCATGGTCAGTTCCAGCAGCCGCAGCCACCTCAGGGGCAGGGATTCATGGGACAGCCAGGGATGCAGCCTCCTGCAGTAGGACAGGGTCCACCTGGAGGTCCACCTCTTGGTCCTCAGCAGCCAGGTGGCCCGCCGGGCCAGCAGGGCCAAGGTTACCCAGGATCAGTGGCCCAGCAGCAGGCCACGGCTGCACTCCAACAGAGGCTCCAGCACCAGCACCACCTTCAGATGCAGCAGCAGCAGCAGCAGCAGAATACCATGGCTGGCCTACCAGGGGGTGATGCAGGGCCAGGTGGAGGGGGCGTAGGAGGTCCACAGCAGCCCCCACAGGGCCCTCAGCCCACTCAGAGTGGACCCCCTCCTCCATCCTCTCAGGCCTTGCTGCATCAGGCTCTTCAGCAGAGACTGCTCCAGCAGCAGCAACATCTTGGCCCTGGAGGGTCACCGGCTCAACACAGCAACCCCATGAGCCCCCAGCAGCCACAGCAAATGGCCCAGTCGCCGCACCCCCACCTGCAGGGCCAGGCGCTGCCCACCTCCCTCGCTAATCAGGTGCGGTCGCCGCAGCCGTCGCCCAGACCCCAGTCCCAGCCGCCACACTCCAGTCCGTCCCCGCGCATGCAGCCTCAGCCCTCCCCACATCACATCTCCCCCCAGATGCAGACGGGTTCTCCACACCCGAGCCATCTGAACCAGCACCACCCAGGACTCGTCGTCCCTCCGCAGCAGCAGCAGCCCGCGGCCCAGCAGCAACAGAACGCTATGGAGCAGTTTGGGTCGGACCAGAGCGCCATGCTGTCTCAGCTGAGCGGCATGGCCGGTCTACACGGGCCGGGGGGGAACGGTCAGGACCCAATGGGCCAGAATATGAATCACAACCATTTAGACATCATCTAGGACTTGTGTCATGTGTCAAGTGGAGCCGAGGCGCTCTGTGGTTCTTCGCACAAACTGCACTCACCCAGGACAGTGTTATTGTTATTACTTAGCCTTTCTTTTTATACTTTATTAAATGTTATTTAAAATGTTTTCAATAAAGATGCATTGAACTGAACTTCCTATGGGAGATGAACAATAAATCAAGCAGTCGTTAAATGAATTAGAATAAATGAATTGTAAGTTATTGCTGTTAATATATTTTTTTGCCAATAGTGGACAAAGCGGGGGCGCTCTCCGGCGCCGCCCTCGCCTCCACCTTTTGCAGAATACGAGAAAGGTGATATTTTCGGGCTTTCCGGGGGTAAATAGAAGTACTTGCCTTTTTTAAGAAATGTTTTTAATATTTTAAAAGTGGTCAAGAATTAAAGAAGAAATGATTTAATGCAAAGAACTTTTTTTTTTATGGGTTTTGTTTGGCATCATTCAGTCGGTTCTGTTCTGCAGAGTGATGTGGATTATTAATGTCAATCCAAACATGATGCATATCTTCCTTTTCAGATGTTTGGGTTTGCTTTATTTATTACTTTCTCTGTGGGTGGGGTGGGGGTGTTGTGTACCTTGAGACTGCTACAATTCGTATAGAAATATATTTTTGTTATCGACTGTTAAGGCGGGCGGGGTAGTGAACACGTCATTTCACTTTAGATGTCTTTAGTTGTCCAGGTGGGAATCATGTCAGTGTTTTATTGCCGCGGCCGAGGCTCTGCTCCGGGTCCAGACCAGCGGAGCGGACATGGTCTCTGACATCCTGGCCGGCTCCTCTGTCGGACATCAGTCATGCTGGAAGGGACTCTTTTCCCCACGCAAACATGCAAGCCCTCTCCCTCGAATGTGTGTGCACTCCTTCCTTTAAAGACACTTGATATGGCGCAGCGGAGGCTTGGGGAGGGGGGGTGCATACCTGTGTGCCTGAAACATTTTGAGTACATGGTTCTGGGATGTGAAACGTGGGTGGGGTGGGCTCCTTTTAGTGTTTTTAGGATTCTACTGTTTGGAGTAAACAGAGGATAATGATCCAAATGAACTGTGTTGCACAGAACTGAGGAGGAAGAAGGCGATGTGAGCGCTCCGTCTCCGCCTCTTTCTGCCTCGTCCCCTTTGCTGCTTCCCTCGGACTTTAAATCCCGCTCCTCCTCCTCCTCCTCCTCCTCCTCCTCCTCTGGGGGATGTTTAGCTCCCTCCCCTTAAACTCCATCCTCTTTATCTTTCTGCTACGAACTTTGGGAGTTTAATTTAATATTTTTTACTGTACAAAGGAAACACAAACTGTGGACTCAAATACTGTTTTTTATAATAAAATTAAAATTACCAATAGCCACGTGTCCCGAATGCGTCTGTCTGTTAGAAGCCACGAGACGTCCGACGTGTTGGAGTTATGAAGTTATTGGGTCGGATGTTTACCTGCATCGTGAAGCTGCCTCTCTGGTCACCATGGTAACCGATGCTGCATGACTAACCTGCTCCGGAGCTGGTTAGCTTCAGAGGACCAGATCGCAAAACAGCCAACAGATGACTCCAACAGGTTATTATAGGTCACCGGACTCATCCTGGCGTTGTAGAAGAACTTCTACCAAACGGAAGAAGAATTTAAATACAGTTAAGCTCCTAAATCATTCATACGCAGCTCAAATTCAGATTCGTGGTGAATTTTATTTGATTTTTGGTTTTTATTTTAACTAAAAATGCCATGACCGATGGGATTTCCAGCCTTTCTCATCGGTCCCTGTCCAGATTCAGGTCTGGACTCCTGCTGGGCCTCCAACAGGTTGTTCTGTTCACCGTTTCTTCACCTCCTCGGCCGCAAGCTTCACATCATCGACCCGACGCTGCCCAAGGACGAGTTCTTCTGCAGACTGCCGGATGTTTCCCTCCACAGTCTGAACGTCTTTTCTTATGACGCTCTTTATCTGGACAAGGTTGTGCCGTCCCACCACCCTGTTGGCCTGTAGAGATGATGTGGAGTCCTTCTTGGTCCATGGAGCCTTGTTCAGTGAGATGTTGGCAGCAGCTCAGGATGGTCCTGGTGGTGATTCTTGGATTCTTCTTTGCTTCTCTCACTACGATCCGTTCCAGTGCAAACGGTGGTTTTTGGCTTCCCTCCATCCCCTTGAGATTGTTCACAGTGCAGGACTCTGACCGTTGAGGGATTTGCATCGCTGGCACTTGAAAACTCTTTGATACGAGTTTATTTTTAACCGTTAAACATCTTGTGAGCAGCTACGATGTGCATCTCTCTCTCTCTCGGTGATGGACCTTAAACACAGGCCCACTGAGCTGTTTGGGTTTAGTTAGAAATGTAATCGACAAGTAACCAACCAGAGATCTGCTGCGTCAGCGTTACTCAGTTTATGGTTTATTAGAACTTTATAGAACACGGAAGGATTAAAAAATATTTGGAGTCCAGTAGAAGCTGCGTTTTTAGTAGAAAATGTAAAAACAGCAACAACAAAAACCAAATAGTTCAAATTTAACGTCTCCAACTCAGAGTCTGAACATCTTTTGCCACCTGATTATCAAGAACAATTTTGGACAAATAAAAATCCACAAGGGGCTGCAGGTGGTTCAGTGGTTAGCACCGTGGCCTCACAGCTAGAAGGTCGCCGGTTGGAGTCCCGGTGAGGACACCCGGGATCTTTCTGCGTGGAGTCTCCATGTTCTCCCCGTGCAGCGTGGGTTCTCTCCGGGTTCTCCGGCTTCCTCCCACAGTCCAGAAACATGCTGAGGTTAATTATTGATTGTAAATTGTCCGTAGGTGTGAATGTGAGTGTGCTTGGTTGTCTGTCTCTAAGTGTAGCCCTGTGATAGACTGGTTACCTGTCCAGGTGAACCTGCCTTCACCCTGAGTCAGCTGGGATAGACTCCAGCCCCCTCTGACCCTGGTGAGGATTAAGGTGTAGAGATGATGGATGTACATAGTGAATGACCAACAGTTCTCGATGGCAGCGTGTAAAAAGACACCAAACAAGCACAGGAATTAGTCAAACCACGAACAATGAGCTGATGTGAATCCACTTTTTGCTATTAATGCACAGGTGTGGACCTTTCGGGAGGATGAAGACGTATTAATGCAGAGTAGAGCTGCAACAGTTAATTGATTAATTGATTAGTTGACCACTATCACATTAACTTCCACAAGTTTGACTGATTTTTTTTTTAAGGAAAGCGTCGCTTTTAGGATGAACTTTTTTTCACCATTTTTTGACATTTTACAGCAAAAAAACAACAACTAATAGATTAATCAAAATGATCATCAGTTGCAGGCCAGATGTGGAGCTCTGAACATCAACAGTCACCGCCATCACACACCCTGATTATTCTGGTGGATTAATGGTAGCAGCTGGACCTGCTTGAGTTTCTTGAAGGCGTTCCACCTCTCATCCAAGAGGCTCCATCAGCTCTAACTGAAACTGAAAAACATTAAACTCTTGATCTTCTGCTGAGACGTGTTCTTTAGTAACGCTCACCTGGTCTCATCCTGTGATCAGATTCAGAAAAGTTCATCTCGTTCTCACACACCTGTTGGTTCATGACAGCAGCACCTGACATGTGATTCACTCCCATCTTCACCAGCACAGCTCAGGATGGACCTGGTATTGACTTTGGTGAACTTCCAGGATCATTTTGCCTCCTGCAGCTGATGATGTGTCGCTCTGTTTATTAAATGTTGGTTGCTGCACATCAGACATGATAAACTAACTTGATGGCGTCACTACAGTGAAGCCTCTTTCCTTACAGCGAGTTGCCCTCTAGTGGCTGAGCATGCAGCTAACACAACCTGGTATCGATGGATAAAACAAACTGGGAGAAACAGTTTTCACAGACATTTAAAATAAAAAAGGCAGCTATATTTCAACAAGGCTGAAGGTTGTGATCATTGCAGGCGCTGGAGAAAACAGAGCTTCAGGTGTCATGTTTGAAGAGAGAAATCTGTACATAAACATGGTTCAGACTTCTGTTGCTGACTGATCATTTGAAAGTTGTCTGTGAAGATCCTCAGTCCTCCAGGTCATGGTTGTTCTCATGGATTAATCATCATGTTTGTGGACTGTGGGAGGAAGCCGGAGAACCCACGCTGCATGGGGAGAACATGGAGACTCCCTATTTTGAACAGAAATGCGGAATTTCAAACTGAATTCATCTTTTTACACCCAAATCTGAG